TATTGTTGTGGTTTAAATATAGGCAACATTTTAATTTATATATGTGTGTGTATGTGTGTGTGTGTGTGTGTGTGTGTAGGTAAAGATATATATATAGATTTAGATTGATATATTTATTTTAGAGTTTAATTTCTATATATATATTTTTAAAGATTTATTTATTTGAGAGAGTGTGCACATGTGCGTTAGTGGGGCGGGGGGCAGAGGGAGAGAATCTGTCAGACAGACTCCCTGCTGAGCATGAAGCCCTACACAGCTTGCTCCCAAGACCCATGAGATCATGACCTGAGCTGAAACCAAGAGTCAGATGTTTAACCAACTGAGCCACCCAGGCACCCCCCTTTCTGTATTAATGAGGACATCATGAAGGCCTGGCAGCCTCAGTAGGTATTACCTTGCTTTTCTGTCAGTGTTTATCAGCAGAATTAGAATTTGCTATTTCTATTTTAATTTTGTAAACCTTGCATGTTTTGAACAGCCAGACAAACAATACTGGTTCCCTTTTATTAGATGTGTTTTGGGCACTTTATCTAATTTTTTTTTTTTTTTTTTGAGAGAGAGAGAGAGAGGCACGCGGATGCACGTGCGAACGGGCAGAGGGAGGGGGAGTGGCAGAGAGACAAGCAGACTCCCCACTGAGCAGGGAGCCCGACTCAACTTGGGGCTCTGTCCCAGGACCCTGAGATCATGACCTGAGCCGAAGGCAGACGCTTAACTTACTAAGCCACTCAGGTGCCCCTAAATTATTTATCTAAATCTGTAAGATAATCCAGAAAGGTAGGTAGTTTTATCACTGTGTTATAGTTCTAAGATTTGGAGGAGATGCTCAAGTTCACATAGCTAGGTAGCAGCCGAGTAGGAATTTGAAGCTAGGTCTTTCTGGTTTCCTCACCACTAGACCATACTTTCTTTTTGGCACCCCATATTTTTTTGCCACTCCATGGTTCACCAGTGGTACACTTAAAGCTATCAAGAAAATTCTTTTTTGCTTTGCCCAGCATCATCTGCACATTGATTCAGTGGGTTCTACTGATCTTTTACAAGTATTCATAAGTGGCAGGAAACTATTTAGACAGCATTTTCACCAAGATAGTTATCTTCTGATGGTTAAAAAAGAACGTATAGCTATCATATATGGATAATCAAACTAGTGGATTTGGAAAAAGTAAGCTTGGAAAAGTAAAGGCATACTAGAAACTTTATTCTGATGAGTAAGTATAGTAATGACTTTATTTTTTTATTTTAAGTAGGCTCCATGCCCACGTGGTGCTTGAACTCACGACCCCGAGAGTAAGAGTCGCGTGCCCTACCAACTGAGCCCCCTAATAATGATTTTAAATTAAAGAAGACCAACTCACACCATACACAAAAATCCGTTCCACTAGATTCAGTCCAAACATGAGAAATAAGATAATAAAGCTTTTGTTTTCTTCTGGGAGAATATCTTCCTAGCATTGCTGCAGGCAAAGATTTCTTAAATTGGACATTAAAAAAAGATTAACCTTAAAGAAAAACGGTGTTAATTGGAAAATACTGAAAATGAAAACTTCGAAGAACATTGCTAGGAGAATAAAAAGACAAGCCACAGAGCAGGAGAAGATATCTGTAATATGTATAAATGACAGGATTGTGTCTAGAATATGTGAAGAAGTTCTAGACACTAGAAGGAAAAGACAGACTGGTACATAAATGAGCAGAAGTTTTGAACAGACACCCCGAAGAAAGCTGTCTAAATGGCTGATAAATTTGAAACAGTGCTCGGTTTTATTAGCGTCAGGGAAAATCAAATTGATATTATAATGATACACCACCACACACAAATAAGAATGGTTAAAATGAAAAGATTGACAACATTAAGTGCTAACAAGGATGTGTAATTATGGGAATTCTCATATACTGCTGTTTGGAGTATAAAGTTTTATAATTGCTTTGAAAATCTGTTGGTAGGGGCGCCTGGGTGGCTTGGTTGGTTGGGTGTCTGACTCTTGGTTTCGGCTCAGGTCATGATTTGAGGGTCATAGGATCATGGGATTGAGCCCTGTGTCCCCCAGCTCCCTGCTCAGCAGGGAGTCTGCTTGAGGATTCTCTCCCTCTGCCCCTCCCCCAACTCACTTGCTCTCTCTAAGGTAAATAAATAAATCTTTAAAAAAGGGAGAGAGAGAAAATCTGTTTGGTGCTTTCTACTCAAGCTGAATGTGTGCTACTCTGTGACTCCACAGTTCTCTGCATACATTCAGTAATAGATATGGATGCAAGTGTTCTTAGCAGTGCTAATTGTAATGGCCCTGTGCTGGAAACAACCCAAACTCCTTTCAGCAGCACATGGGTAAATACATTGTGGCATATTCATACAATAGCATACTGTAAAAGAGAATGAATCAGTTTTTGTCTTATGTAATAAAATAAATGAATCTCACAAAAATAATGATGAATAAAAGATGCAACTCACAAAAAGTTATACACTGTATGATCTCATCTAATGTAGTTCAGAAATAGGTAGAACATACCTGTAGTGTTAGAAAGCAGGGTAGTGGTTACCTGTGATGGTGGTGGTGGCTCATGGAGTATGAGGGGCTTCTTGTGTGCTGGTGACATTCCGACACTTGATTTGGGTGTTGGTTACACAGATGTGTTTCCTTTGTGAAATTCATCAGATTATATGTTGTTGTGATTTGTGTACTTCTTTGTATGTAGGTTATACTTGAGTAAAAATTTTCTGAAGGGGAGGCAGAACTTAAATGGCATTATTTCCTGTAACTTATTTAACTATGATGTTATAAATTGGAAATCAGACCATGTCCAACTTAAACACCCTGTTTCAAAAGTATTTTCTTTGTTTTCAGTGGGAAAGGTTTTTTCTTCTTCTCACATTCTTACTTTCCCTAAGAAGTTACTATTTGTTAAGCTTGTTCAAACAGCATTATCCCATTCCGTGCTTACAACAAGAATCTTAAAACAAGAAGGAAAACGATCTGAATCAGTTTCAAGTAGACTGAATGGAGTCATTCCAGGGTCCATGTCACCAAGGGCTTCAGGAGAAATAGATAATAAAGTTGGGAGTTTGAGTGGATATTATTTACTTTCTACCTACCTCAAAATTGAAATAAACTAGAAACTCACTTGAGGCTGACCTGTGTATGCTCCACAGTTGGTCATCTGAAGAACTTGCCTTCTCATGAATGAAATTCTGGAGTAAAACTGTATATTCTTGGTTACTTACAGAGCTCTTATTTCTCCTAGTGATTTTGGTCTAAGCCAGGGAGCAACAGACTACCGCAGGTCAAATCCAGCCTGCTACACCTTTTTGTTAAGTTTTATTGGAACAGAGCTATGCTCCTTGTTTATTATCTGTAGCTGCTTTTTGTTGCATTGTATGGCCCACAAAGCTAAAATATTTACTCTCTGGCCCTTTGCAGAGAAAGTTTGCCAACCGCTGGTCTAAGACAATATTGATTATGGCCATATAGTTCTGTGTTTACGTTGTTTCACCTTCACCTCTTCCCTAACTGCACTGGTGGAAGGAACCTTGGATTGGGGATCTGTGTAAATTGGCCTGAGGTAGGACCAGTTTAGCAAGAAGCTTGTTGTTTCCATTTTACTCTTGGTCCTGTAGGATCACCTAGAATAGAGTAAACGTATTTTCATTTTGCTAGGAACAGTCCTGCTTTGCATCTTTTGTTCCAGGCTGTTATGAAATTCTGATACCATTGCATACTATTATAATAGTCACACAATTTTAGCTGCTCCCTTTTACTCTTCATGCCCCCAGTTTGTAGGATAAATTGTGGGGTCATTCTGTCTGTGACAGTTAACTTTGAGAAGGGTGGTGGGAATAGAAGAGACAGTGACAGCCTATGCAAGGTGGAATGTAAGAGATTAAGTTTTGAAAGCTTGTGTCAGGGGTCTTCATGACGGTCTCACTGATTCACTAGGATTCAAGGGCTCAGAAGTTGCTGTGCTCATGGTTTCGGTTTATTACAGTGATAAGAAACAGTAAGAGAAGCAAAAGCACATGAGGGGATGTCTGGAGAAAACCAGGTGCAGGCTTCAAGGCGTTCCTGCCCAGTGTAGTCACACAGGAGGTATTTAATTCCCCCAGAAATGACTTGTGGAGAGATGTGCAGTGTGTTCACAATCAGGGACACTCACCCTAGCCTCCGTGCCCAGGATTTTTGTTGTGGTCAGTCATATAGGCACGTAGCACCATTGTGACTGACCTTGCTTATGTACATAATCTCTAGAACCTCAGAGAAAAGGAGATGTTCATCATAAATTACATTGTTAGCATAAACTGTTTGCTCAGACTGGTATTTGGTGCCACCCAAGGACAGAACTTTGCAAGGGCTCGGAGCTCAGTTCCCAGGAGCTCAGTTCTCAGGAGCTAGCCAAGGGCTAGTCTGTAAACAGGCCATTTTGGGGGAATGTGTAGGTTTTGAGCATCCCAGGCCTGCTGAATTAACCCTTTCCCACACAAGGCCCTACAAGGTATTGAAGCCAGAGTTTGAACCCAGGTAGGTCTGATTCGAAAGTCTTTGCTCTTTCCATAATTAATTTTGAGTGATCTTTTATACTGAATTGCTAATTAAAAATTCTGGCTGCATTAGATGTGGTACATACTTGGACTACGCCCATCTATCCTGGTAAATATTTCCAATAAGCTTTCTTTTTCCTCACATGAAGATAAGGAGCCTGGTTTGAGTATTTTTCAGTGTTTTTTAAAGTAATGGTGCTAAGAATTTCTAGTTCTTAGTTATTTTCAGCAAAGTTTATTTTGTTTTGTATGTTAATGTATTGAAATGTAGTTATCATGAAGAATAGTCTGTAATTACTCCTGTTACACTTAATACAATATTTAATTTAAAACAGAGAAATGTGATAATAAGAGTTTAGAAAAGTGTTAGTTCACAATTAAGAATTGTCTCCTTTGTAGATGATAGGTTTGAGTGAATTTATACAGTTCTCAAGAGCATTTAACCTTTTTTTCTTTTCTTTTTCTTCAGGTATTTGTGGAAACATTAGACAAGTGTTTTGAAAATGTCTGTGAACTGGATTTAATTTTCCATGTAGACAAGGTACTTTCTGTATTGTCAAATCTTCTAAACTTTTTATCTGAGAAAAAATGGTAATTTGTATTTCTGTTTCTCAAAGTAAAAATGGATTTAGTGAGTAAAACTATTTTTATTCCTTTATTTATTTAGTATAACTTATAACTTATTTCCATATGAGCCAGGCACTGCACTTGGTGAAGTTCAGACCCCGCCCAGACGACCCGCATCTAGAGGAGGAAACCGTGGCATTAACACGTAGCCGTGTGTTCAGTGTTAATGGGGACACAGCTGATCTGTCTGCCTTTGTCTAGGAGGCTGTGAGTGGAGGAATTACATTGAACTTGGATTTTTTAGGGATTATAGGTGTCTCACTGACAGAAATGGAGAGGGATGGCTGTAGAGGCAGTGAAATAGGGTACAGGCTTTGGAGGGGGATTGGTATAGAACCGGGCGGCCTAGGTTTAAAGTGCCTTTAGTGGCACGGATTAGTTTTAAGATTTTATTTATTTATTTATTTTTTATGTTTTTTATTTCTTTGACAGAAAGATAGAGAACACAAATAGGCAGGGTAGCAGGCAGAGGGAGAGGGAGAAGCAGGCTCCAAGGAGCCCAACGTGGGACTCCATCCCAGGACCCGGAGCTCAACCTGAGCCGAAGGCAGATGCTTAACCCACTGAGCCACCCAGGCGCCCCTTATTTATTTATTTTAGAGGGGGAGAGTGAGAGAGCACATGTGAGAGTGAGCGAGCGAGTGAGCATGCGCACACAAGTAGGGGGAGGGAGAGGGACAAGCAGACTCCGCACTGGGCATGGAGCCCGATGTGGGGCTCGATCTCAGGACCCTGAGATCACGACCTGAGCTGAAATCAAGAGTCAGACACTCAACCGACTGAGTCACCTAGGCACCCAGTGCCTTGGATTTTAGACTTCGTTCTGAAGCACTTTAATATTTTTAATCAAGTGTTTATTGGCACTTATTGTTGCTTTGTTGAACACTGGTGGGTTGTTTTGGTTTTTGTTTTTTGCCAGATCATTTTTTTCTGCACTACAAAGATTGTGGATTGGTAGGTAGGAGATTAAAGACCGGGATATCAATTAGGGGTCTGTTGCAGGAGTCTGGAAAGAAGTGAACTAAGGCAATACAGTAGAGATGAAAAAAAGTGAATTGGCAGGACATGATGGTCTGCTGAAAGCTGGAGTTGAGAGGAGGGAAGGATGACTGAACTTTCCAGCCACTATTACTGGGTGCTGGTGATAAGGAATTTTGGAAGAGAGTCCACTTTTACCATATACAGATTGTTTTCTGTATTAAGTTTATATAACATAATGGATTGTTTTGGAATGATTAAGCCGTTGAATAAAATAGTCTGAAATAATATGCTGAAAATTTTAGCTGAAAATGTGATTTTTAAAAATCAGCTTTATTGAGGTGTAATTTACACACATTAAAATTCAGCAGTTTTGAGCATACAGTTAACTAAGTCTTGCAGATGTATAGAGTTATGTAACTGCTACCACAATCGAGATGCAGCACAAGGAAGGAATGCATTTTATTGTTTGTGAACCATCAAAAGAATACTTTTATTATTAGCCAATCCTCTAGATTATATTTCTCATTTACTAAATGATTTGATTTTATGTATTAACTCATTTTAGACAGAGAACTTAAACTTGATATTTGTAAGAGTCTATTTTTAGTTTTCTACTGCTTTTCTCTAATCACTGTATCTTATGCTTTTTCATACTTAGAGAAACTTCTGTTATTTTTAGGCATTAGGGTTTGCAGTATTCAAAATTATCTTTTGGTACAGGATTAAAATACTTAAAAAAGGTCTTTTTAAAATGACTGTTCAAGGCACCTGGGTGGCTCAGTCGGTTAAGTGTCTGCCTTCGGCTCAGGTCATGATCCCGGGGTCCTGGGATTGAGCCCCTCCCAGGGAACCCGCTTCTCCCTCTGCTCCTCCCCCCACTTGCGCGCTCTCTCTCTCTCTCCCAAGTAAATAAATGAAATATTTAAAAAAAAAATAAAATGGGGTGCCTGGGTGGCTCAGTTGGTTAAGCATCTGCCTTCGGCTCAGGTCATGATCCTGGAGTCCTGGGATTGAGTCCCGCATCGGGCTCCCTGCTCAGCAGGGAGTCTGCTTCTCCTTCTGACCCTCCCCTCTCTCATGCTCTCTCTCTGTCTCTCATTCTGTCTCTCAAATAAATAAATAAAATCTTTAAAAAATAAAATAAAATGATCAGAGATCATTAGCTTATGTAATGAAGCAATATCTTAAGAAAATTGAGGAATCTCTTGTAAATGTTGTAGTAAGAGTAAAGTTCTCACATTTTTCCTAGAGAATAAAAGATTTCCTTAATAGAGAAATTAAGCTCCACTCATGTACGGCTTCTTTACATGACACACAGTTATTTTAAGACTTCTATTTTACATTGATATGCATTCATTTTAGAAAAATCAGAAAATGCACATAAGTGGAAAATAAATGGAAGTCATCTCAATTGTAGAGATTGCCTAATATTAGTGGAAAAACTGAGGTATATTAAAAATTTCTACGTTTATTTGAACAAAAATTGATTCAAATCGGGCCACGCCAAACCAGAAGCAGTTAGGAGTACTTCACCAACAGGAGCTAGGGGAGAGGCTTTTATAGAAAAGATGCAGAAGCAAAGCAAGGGGATTTTCTGATTGATTACAGTTTAAGCAGTTGTATTATTTGGGAAAGCTGAATTGGCTCTGATGGGTTGTCTTTAGGTTTTGATTTCTTATAGGCATGTTCTGGTTTGCTTACTTAAGCTGCTAAGGTATTAGAACCACCTCAGTCTAACTGTTTAATTAACACAGTGTTAACATTTTAGAGTATGTGCATTTCTAGATTTTTTTGTACAAGTGCAGAAACAAGTAAGTCTTTAAGAGAAACAGAAATGGGATCATACGGTATGAGTATGTATAGCCTGTTCCGTTTACACAATAGTGCATCATTGTTTTAAAACCTGCCAAAATTAGGGCGCCTGGTGGCTCAGTCGTTAAGCATCTGCCTTCGGCTCAGGTCATGATCCCAGGGTCCTGGGATCGAGCCCCACATCGGGCTCCCTGCTCTGCGGGGAGCCTGCTTCTCCCTCTCCCACTCCCCCTGCTTGTGTTCCTGCTCTTGCTATGTCTTCCTCTGTCAAATAAATAAATAAAATCTTTAAAAAAAAATAAAAAAAATGAAACCTGCCAAAATTAACTATATCTCTTCTTTCTGGGCTAAATACTTGTTTTAATTTTTTCCAATGCAATGAGGCAAAAAGCTTTAGGATAGCAGGAGTCAGAGACCAGTCAAATAGACCTTCCTATGCCTACATTCTCTGTCCAGGACAATACTAGTCTTACTTTAAGCCCTTGTAGGAAAGTAGGATTATTTTCAACCCTTAAGCCGCCCTGGACCTTCCAGCAGTCAGGAATCTCTTAACTGGCTCAGCTCACTTTTCCTTAGGGTCTGGTAAAGAATTTTGCCCACAACCCTCAGCCTGCTCATGGACTAGATTAGTCCCAAAGTCACCCTGAAGTAGTGGGACAGCCTCCCTATGCAAAATTGGTTTGGATGTGGAGACTGAAGATGGCGCACATACACCAAGAAAATATGATCCGAAAGGTTTCTCACTCACATAAAAAGGTTTCATAAGTAATAGTAAAGTCATATTTATTTGATTAAGAGAGTAAGGAAAGAGATCATAATCCCTAATGAAATTATAAACAGTAGAATCTCTGATTTAAAAGATGGTGGATATAATATAAATAAAATTTGATCAACCAACTTCATGATGAAAAGTGAAAGTACCAGTTTAAAGTAGATCTGTTATTATTCAGGACACTAAGTGTGAATTGAATGAAACAATCTATTAAAAGACAGAGATGATGGGTTTAAAAGTACAGTTTATATAGGAAAGGCAGGATAAATTTTAGATTATTTCCTATATTGTCAGTTTTCCTAACAGTTCAGTTCCCTAATACTCAACCAAAAATGATTATTGTTGTTTTTTGGTTTGGTTTTGTTTTAGTTCCCTGTGACATAGGAATTTTAACATACTTTGATTTGTTTTGGATGCTCACATTGCCCTGTGTTTGCCAGCGGGGAGCCCCTTCAGGTTGTCTTCTGAGTCCTTTTGCCATTCCCTCCCCTCCATGGGCTGTTACAGCCGTTTTGTGTTCTGGTACAACTAGATGTTGCAGACCCATTGTCTTCATTTCCTACTCTAGGCATGTTATCAGCCACTTTTTCTAAGAGCCCTGATTCCTTTTAGTGGGAAATGGTATATGGAAACCACAGTCTGGAGGTGCTCATAGTTATGAGGCTGGTCATTGTTTCTAGGCCTTTTCTATGGGCAGAGCATCTTACATGTTTTCTGTCCAGCCCTGAGTCAGCTATTTCTTCAAGGAACCCTGGTTCTTTTTCTCGGACAATGGTGTTTAGAAATGACAATCTCAGTACCATTTTTGCTCATTGCTACCAGGGTTATATTTTTCCTGGTTCTCTGAACCAAACTGGGAAATAGATGTAGGTATGTGTGTATGTGTGTGCACACACGCACCCCCTAACCTATTTCTATATCTGTATATATTTCAAAAATCATTGAGTTCTTCATAATACCTCAGAGTGTAGTGTAACACTACAGAATTTATTCTAGCCTTCTCCTTTTCCATATTTGCAACTTGCTACTCTGACAGTGAAAGATTATTCTGATTATTCTCACTCTTACTGTTCTCATTATTCCTGATGCATTTATTTATTTGCTCAGTTCTTCCTTTCTTTAACCAAACTCCTAGCTGGGCCATTGGAAAGCTAAACCCCAGACATGCCAGTCTCTACTTTGCCTGTCAGCACCAGCCAAAATCTTGGCCCCAGGCATACTAGCCCCTGTCCCCATCAACTGAGCAAGTTGTTAGAAAGTCAATTCTGATAAAAATTTGCAATGAATAAAGTATTACAAAAAACATTCCAGATGATCTGAAAAACAACTCAGTAGGATTTCTAGAAGAG